ATAACAATAGCGATGATAACCTTTCCAAAAAGCTAGTGAAACGTAAAGTTCCAGAAATAGACACAATGAACGTTAACATAACTAACGAATACTAGGATTTAGAGATGGGCACGCGCAGGATCCGCGTGGGATCCCACGCGTGATGCACGGGATTTTTTTAGAGCCCGCGTGGGATTTTTAATATAAAATATCTGACTAGCATTACCAAATTATCTGGCCGGCATTAATATAATATCTAATATGCATTACTGCTATTTTCTTAATTTCTGGAACACCTGTTATAAATTGGCTGATTCGATTAAGTTTAATATTTATAATAGCACTTGATCTTAAATTACTTAATCAGATCGGCCCAAATATCATTTGGATAATTTTTATCAGGTGTTCCAAAATAGCAGTAACATATTTAGGCAATTTCTAATTAGTATTTGACCTGCATTAATATATATGGATTTATTTTGTTTGTATATTGTTTCACATATGTATATCATGCTTAATATATTTATATGCGCTTCTATTTAGAATTTATTTGCTTATATATTGTTTTATATATGCATATCATGCTTAATATATACGTAGCACACTTCTAAATAAAATTTTGTAAATAATTTCACATATGTACAGGTATACAGTATATCTATATATAAATATGTAATAAAAATTTATCATTTTGCCTTTGGTATCTTCTGCTTATTGAAAATTTTCGTTACTATATATATTGAATATATCTAAATATTATTAAGCCATTCTTTTTAACAATAAATATAATATGGGTAGTAATCACGATATTTGGAAACATTTTACAAAAATTGGACCAGATAAAAACTTTAAGCAAGAACGTGCCCAATGTAATTACTGTGATCATAAATGCAATGAATCAGTAATAAGATGTGAAGGACATTTAAAAGTATGTGATTATATTGATTTAGAAATTAAACAACAATATTTTGGAACTACATTTCAAGAACCAGAAAAAAAAAATTCAATAATAAATATAAACAGACAAAAAAATACAAATATTCAAAATTTTCTTGATAGAATTTCTCAGTCTGAACAAGAAGATATTGAATTATCAATTGCTCAAACAATTTTTGAATGTGGCTTGTCTTTATCTTTATTAGAATTAAAGCCAGTAAAAAAATTGTTTAAAAAAATTAGACCAGCCTTAAATTTGCCAAGCTGAAAAAAACTTTCAACAACTTTATTAAATAAAACATATGAAAATACTAAAGAAGAAGTAGATAAAATGATTAATAAAGCTGAATTTATTAGTATAATTAGTGATGGATGGTAAATATTTTTATTTATTTAATAATAGCATTATATAAAGGGAATTGATATTTCCACACCCCTTTTTGATAATGCCACACCCTTGTAGATCATTTTAATTTTTTAACTTTTTTTTTAAATTTGATCGAATATATCTCGGCACTCACCTGACCAAATTCGATCAACTTTTTTTTATTTTAATTTTAGAAAGCCTTAGAATTCAAAGAAAAAAAAGTTTATCAAATTTGGTCAGGTGGGTGCAGAGATATCGTCGATCAAAGATTTTATAAAATTCAAAACGTCTATCAAATATAAGCTGTAGCAAATTGTTTACAGTCTTTGATCGAAGATATCTCGGCACCCACCTGACCAAATTCGATCAACTTTTTTTTCTTTGAATTCTATGGCTTTATATAATTAAAATAAAAAAAGCTGATCGGACTTAGTCAGGTGGGTGTCGAGATATTTTCGATCAAAGGTTGTAAACAATTTTTGCCGCAGCTTATATTTAATACGTTTAGAATTTTATAAAAACTTTGATCGAAGATATCTCGGCACCTGCCTGACAAAATTCGATCAACTTTTTTTTCTTTGAATTCTACAGCTTCCTATAATTAAAATAAAAAAAGTTGATCGAGTTTGGTCAGGTGGGTGCCGAGATATCTTCGATCAATTGTATAAAAAATTATAAAAATTAATAATCTACATGAGTGTGGCATTATCAAAAAAGGGTGTGGAAATATCAATTTCCTAAATTTATATTAATTAAATTTTATTAGCAACTTCAATAAATTTTTTAATAAATATTTAGATAAGTAAAAATAGTCCACTTCCTTGTAAATAATTTCCAATTTTTTGCAAAACCTTTTACTACAACAAGAAACATCTATTCCTTCAGAATTAGTAAACTTGTGTAAAAAAAAAAAAAAAAACTTAGCTTTGTGCCTGATATGTTTCTTTCTCTAAATTGATCCAAGTTCTAGACCAAAACACTGCCAGATATACATTACTTCATTTTGCAGGCATCAAATAGAGTCCTAAAAAATATATAATATTTTGATTTATTTTTAATTTATTTTTCAAACTCAAATTTCAAAACAATAAAATATTAATATTATACTTACAATATTTAACAAGAAAATGTTTAGTGAAGCTTCAGGTGTAAAGAGAAAAAAA